TCTGTATATCTGACTTCCCAATAAAAATAAATAAATCTTTAGAAAGCAATAATAATAATAACCCATTATTTCCCACTCTGGAGAAGAGTTTGAAGGATTTGCCCTTCAGAGATAAACTATTCAACTGAAGAATCAATTGAAGAATTTGACCCACAAGAACAAATTGCTCAACAGATTCAGAGAAATGAAAAGATCTTAACCTGCCAAACTTACATAATTCTACTAAAAGGGAATGTGATTTGTCTACCCAGGATATGGAAGCTTTCATAAGGAAAGTTGTTGATTACTCTGAGTGTCCTTAAATTACACAGACAACACTTAATAAGATATTTTTGAACCTACTTAAAACATGTGCCTAGATGAGGTCACCATTGCTCCTGGATATAGAAAAGATGTAAAATACTGGGCTACTGTAAATTCATATTTTTCAAATGTGGGACAAAGGGTGGACTTTTGTGAAGCAGCTTAGCAAGCTGAATTAATGCCACCTGCACAGCAGATGGGAGTTGAGTTCTCACTTCCCAGCTTTGGCCTAGCCTCGCTGTCGAAGATCGATCTCTCTTTCTCTTTCTGTCTTTGTCTATCAATGAATTTTTAAAATATGGAGCAAGAAAAAAAAAGTCCTTTAAATTTGGAAACATGTTAAGGATGAGAATAGAGGGGCATCATATGAGATGAGATTCTCCTTGGCAGCCCTGCAGGCACCCAGCTCCTGTCCCACCAGAAAACCGACACAAGTACAGCGGTGGGTGCAGGGGCTTTCCAGGCCTCAGGGGCTAAGAGAAGCTATGAGGTCACCCATCCAGTGGCAGCACCTTAATGCTTGCTCACACGGAGGAAGAGAAACAAATGCAGACTGATGAGCTGCATTCTATCTTAACTGCGACAAGTTGTTCTTTGGATCCCAATCTAAAAGCAGCAGCAGGAAGGTCCCAAGGATGGTGAAGAGAGAAATGCTGTGAAACTTCTCATTCTCTTCTGGGCACCACTGGCCACTGCCAGGGCAGCCATTCATCCCACCCCAGGGACACCCCACTGTGAGCCACCCACCCAGCTGGTACCCTAACAACAAAGTCCAGGGTGGCAGTAGATGGCCGCAGGCTACCAGGAGGTGTTTTGGGAAGGACTAGCCGTCCATGCCCTCAGAACTAAGCACATTCTTACCCGCTCCCCGCATTCATCTCAGTGTACTTAGCACTGGCCACCTGATCTTCAGTGCCCCCCAGATAAATGGATCTCTTGTCTACGGCCATACCACCCTGAAAGTGCCCGATCTCATCTCAGGATCCCCGGTCTGCCACTTCAGGGGTGACCCTCCAGAGTCCCCCTGGTGATGTCCAGGGCTCTCTCAGTGATTCAGTATCAGTAACTCCCCCAACAAAAGGGGACGCCCATAAATCAAAGGCCCCTGTGGAAAGGAGGGTTTTTCATCAGGTCTGCCCACAGGGATTCAGTGAGGGGCACAATCCCTGGCAGATGTCATGGAACTAGACCAACTTCCAACTCCCAGATAACAAGCCTCAGCTGCTGCCTGCCTTTTTGCCCCATGATACACGTTTGGGGACCATCCCTCAAGAAGTATCTCTCCAGCCAGCAGACAATCACGACAATCACACTTCAAATCAATGCCAACTCAGGGGTCCTGTGCCTCCTCTCAGTCCCATGATGTGACCTTGGTGCCAAGTTATGAATGGCTAGTTTGGCAGCTTCCTTCTCCTCAAGGCAAGCTCACTGTTCAGAATTGGTTTCCAGCTGAGTCCAGAAGCCTCAGAGGAATTAATGAAGCTATATGCAGATTATGGAGAGCACAAGAGAATCTGGGTATTATATGGGTAAGCATGTTTTCATTTTCATAATGATGCATTCATTTTTCATGTATTAAATATATCAGTAGCCATCAAAAAATACTATAAATAAATAAGTGAGCCCTTTTTTCCATGAGATACCTCTAACTTGTGATGACATCTGTGTGTTTCTGAATCCTCCCATCTGCAGGCTCACTCTCCAAGCAGCCACAACGGCCGGAACTGAACCAATCTGAATCCAAGAGCTTCTTCCTGGTTTCCCACACAGGTGCAGGGTCCCAAGACTTTTGGCATCCTCCACTGCTTTTCCAGACCACAAACAGGAAGCTGAAAGGGAAGTAGAGCAGCCGGGATACGAACCAGGGCCCATATGGGATCCCAGCACACACAAGGCTAGGACTTTTGCCACTAGTCTACTGCACCAGGCTCATCCAGGGTACTATTGTTTTAAGCCCATATGAACAACTGGGGGCATGGTTAGATGACTAGATGTGGCTGCTGGTGGATATAGCTGTTTATGTGTGTGCGCACTCAGCTGCTGCCATGGACACGAGTGGGGATAGCTCATGTGGTCCCATCTCTGTTGGGACCACATGACTGTTCCTTGTACATTTCTCACCCTCACTGTCAGCAAAGGACACACAAACGCACAAGGTGCTCTGACTCAGTCTCCGAATCTGTATCCACTTTGTCCTGGGCCCTAAGCCCACAGCATATATGATGTATAGACAGAAAGAGCCCAAATGGCTGACAAATAGGTAGTTGACCAATACAAGCTTCTGGTTCTAATTGACAATTTCAGAGAACCAGGAACTCCTACAAGTCTAAAGTCTGCTTTTCCTCATAAGTAGATTTTTAAATTTCCATATTGTTTTTGGAAGGGATGTTTAACTCAGTGTCATCACACTGGATGGACTGCCATCAAGAATCAATCAAATGTGTTCTTGATAAGAGCAGAGATGTATACCCCAAGTGAATATCACATTTGATTGTATTGTTTGACCACCGTCTAAAAGAGAAGGGTATCGCAAAAGCTGCAGGCAGTTCAAAGAAGTATTATTGGAAAAGAAACAGAAGTAGTGAAAATATGCTGTTATACCATGGGACCAAAAGAAACATGTCAATGTTCATTTTTTTGTGAAATATAGGTAATAGCTATTCAGTTGGATGCATATTTACATTTTCCTTTCTAAAGGTTTACAGTTATGAATATTAAGCATGCACAATCACATGACTCAAAATTTAAATTCCCAAGAGTTCAAATAAGTGATTCTGACCAAGGACACAAATATTATAAAAAATGGATTTTCCACACTCCTACCATTACTTCTTACCAATCGCCACTACTAACTAGTCCACTGTTTTATTTAGATAACAGTGTTTATGTAATAAAGAAGTAAATGAGGACATAGTTTCCAGAGAACAGTTATTTACACATATATACACATACTTATAGATTATGTGGCTTTGCAGGGTGTTCTGTTTTTGCGTATCAGGTACAGTTGGGCCAAGCTGCCTCTCTCTAAAGCTTGGTTGCCCTATGGGTGAGGGGGATGTTCATTTTGTAAACAGCATAGATGAGAAACTGTTGCGCAGCAGGGCCTTCTGCAAAAGCCAAATGAATGGCTGGAACAGGTAGGACAGACTTGCTTGGCCTTGAATTTATTTTTGAGATATCGGTTAAAATGTTATTCTCTGTACATCTCCCACTCATCTGGAGGGAGAACATTGTTAACTAGTTTCCCAGCGTTGGCCATGCAGACGCTGAAGAAGGGCGTTCTTGAAGACAACAGATGAATGTTCCGGCTGGAAACAATGTATTGCGAACACGTGGTTGTGGGGGGCCTGAAGCCGTGACGCACCAGTGAACGACGCCGCTCGGAGCGCTACCCAGCAAAGCTCAGGATGGCTTCATCGAGTCCGTCAGATTCTGAAGATGCTTCCGAGGTAAAATAATAATAATAATAATATTAATAATACCCAAAACTGAAGTATTTAGTAAATCTGGGAAACCAGTGAGAGAGAGAGAGAATGTGTGTGTGTATCAGAAAGAGGGAGAGAAAAAAAGAGAAGAGACAGAGATAAGGAAGCCGTTGGAGGTCTTTAAGGAAATCCATAGTTTATGGTTATATGAAAAACGGAGGCGCACTGTGAGAGAATGTATGGGTCGGGGAGGAGTAGTTTCTATAGTTTCAGTAAGGCTTAGGCTTGTGAAGGTGGTAGCACTGGGCAGGGATGTGGGAGGCCCAGGCATTTGACGTGGCACCGGCGGCCCTGCCGGCCTCCGGCCTGGATTGTGTGTGGCTCCCGACGGGAGCACCGGAAAGGCGGCCTGAGCATTGCCAGGCCCAGGTGGCGGGCGCTGGGACACGAAGAGGCAGATGAGCAGAACTCAGAAAGCACTCTGTAGGCCATTTGAAGCCGGAGAGTTGCCTGGTAGGATTTTTTTTTTTTCCAAAAACTACTCAAGCTAAATGGACAGTTGTTAAAGTCATTCCAGCGGGGTCGGGGTTGAGGACCTCCGCAAGGCTACGAAGGACCCCATGAGGGTCTCCTCGGGCGCTGAAAGGAAGCCATTAAACACCCCAATATAGAACTGCAGGGTTCCGGGAGGACCCTTGATGATCATCAAATGCGTTAGCCTTGCGTGTAGTTAACAGCTGAAAGAAGTCCTGATATGTGACCAGCAGGACAGGATTGCGAGATTTAACAAATAAGAAACCGAACACCCGTGCTAAACATCAAAGGAACAACAAATACATCTGTAGTTTATAACGCGAACAAGGTCTGGGACATACTTAATCATAAAAACGAGGTTGCTATTGGCGTGTTGCTTGACAACACGTGTGCACCTAACCCTGGGCCGGGTAGGAAGAAGCAGGAAGGGCCCCCGCGGGCGCGGCAGGTGTTGAGTGCTTCCTGCCGGGGCACCCTCACAGCTGGGGACCAGCGAGCCGCGCGAGGGCCGGCTTCTCCTCTGCCCCGGGTCGCGGAGGTTCCGGGAGGACCCCCCCCCCCCCCCGGCTCCCCGCGCCCCTGCGGAGCCGGCGCCCCTCCACCCCCATGCCCTGCTCCGCCCCCTCGCGGCCCGGCTTCCCGGGCGCCGGCGCCCCGAGCGCCCGGCAGCCCGCGGGCGGCCGCGCTGAGCCCGCCTCCCGTCCCCGCAGGGGTGGAGCCTGAGCGAGGAGTCGCTCGACTGCCCCAGCTCGCTCTCCCCGGATGACGAGGCTCAGGATAACATGGAGTCGAGCAAGATGGCGCCTCCTCCCAAGAACGCTCCGAGAGATGCTTTGGTAAGTGCAAAGGCTGAGAGGCGGGGCGCGGAGCCTGACGCGGCCGGGCACCTGCAGGGCTGAGCCAGGCTGACAGCCTGAGGGGAGCTCGCCGGCTGGCTTTCAGCCCAGCAAAGGAGCGGCCGGCCGGTGGCACAGTGCGATGCGGGCTCCTCCTGGCCCCCATCCCGAGGCGATCTCCTGCCGCCCTGGCCGAGCCCCGCCGGAGGGTGGCTGTTCAACCCACGCAACTGGCCGGCCGCCCAGTTTATCTCCTGGGCCTCGGGCCGCGGGACTCAGACGTCTGGCCCAGTCCTCGAGCCCTGACCCTTGGCGTCCAGGCTTCTGATGTTAGTTTCCCTAACTGCCGCATCGGGAAATGACAGCCAGCTGTGCCACCGCTACCTACCTCCTCTGCGAACGGCCAACCACGGCCTTTTTTCTTTCTCATTCCCCCCACCCACATTAAAAAAAAAAAAAATGAGTAAAAGTTTTTGGTGGGAGCGTATAATGTGAGTTGGGTAATCACTGACACTTGTTAGCACAACCCTGAACAGAGGTTTGAAACATGCAGAAGGGGCCCTTGTATCAAAAACGTGAATACTACCTGCTGGCCAGCCTTGATTTCTGCTGCCTACATTACGTATCTGGCGTTTCTGTTGGAATCCACAGGTGATGGCGCAGATCCTGAAGGATATGGGAATCACAGAGTATGAACCACGGGTCATAAATCAAATGTTGGAGTTTGCCTTCCGTAAGTTCACAAAGCACCCAAGGCTTGCCTAACTTGTGAATTTGAAGAGTTTGCTTTACTATATTTTTTCAACCAAAGCGTGTGAACAGAACTCAGCCTAAAGCACTAACAAATAAGATAAAAAAAAAAAAAAAGAGCTCAGTGTAGAGCGCAGTGAGATACTGCGGTACCTGTATAAAACCTATCCTATGGACAGGACAATTGGCTATCAAAAGCAAAATTTAGCAAACATTTTACAAATTAGCAGAACTTCTTAAGGCAAGTAGCCGTAAATATTAAGCTGTGTTCATGTTTAAGAAAAAATTGTTTTGTTCTTAAAGGCTACGTGACTACAATTCTGGATGATGCAAAAATGTATTCAAGCCATGCTAAGAAGCCTAATGTTGATGCAGATGACGTGCGACTGGCCATCCAGTGCCGTGCTGACCAGTCTTTTACCTCTCCTCCTCCAAGAGATGTGAGCAAGCATTTATTGAAAGGGATGTCTACTTAATCATTTTGGAATTACACTTCTCATAAAGCTTTTCTTCTTTAGTTTTTACTAGATATTGCAAGACAGAAAAATCAAACCCCCTTGCCACTCATTAAGCCATATGCAGGACCCAGACTGCCACCTGACAGATACTGCTTAACAGCGCCAAACTACAGGCTGAAATCCTTCATCAAAAAGGTAAGACTATTTGGTTAGCATTCCTTTCTTTTACGTGTCATCCTTGCGCAGGGGCCATGCTAATCTTCTCTGTATCGTTCCAATTTTAGTATATGTGCTGCCGAAGCGAGCACAACATTCCTTTCTTTTAAAAAAAATGAAAACAAAAACAGAAAGATAAGATACCCATTCAGTAGATTAACGGTTAAGATACTTCTTTATGTGTTTTGGAAAAGCACACAGCGGTCTCCCACCCAGTGGTCCACTCCCCAAATACCCACATCAACCTAAACTAGGCCAGTTCTGAACCCAGGAGCTGGGGACTCCATCTGGGTCTCCCACATGGTGGCAGGGATGCAAGCACTTGAGCAATCCCCGACTGTCTTGTAGGGGAGCTGAGGCAGGGAGCTGGGACTGGGGAGCAGAGCCAGGACTTGAGCCCAAGAATTCAGATATGGGATGCAGACATTCCAGTGATAGCAGCTACACTGAACAGCCACTCTCTGATGAAAGCTTCAGATAATTTACTAGAATGTGTTTAATTTTTAGAACTAAAAGTGCCAGGCGCTGCTCATCTAGCCCAACATTTCCTTCTTTCTTTTTTTGTTTTGTTTTGTTTTAATGTCAGGAAATGGAGTCTGAACTCATTTATGATGGAGTTAGTAGCAAAGCTAAGACTGATTACGAGGGCTTCTAACTTCCGAACTTTCTACTGCACCAAACTTTTTAGTGAGGCGTTATAATAGAGTGAATGATAGACCAATAGGAATAGAGCCTGCTTTCTGAAATACAACCACAGGCTCTCCTATCACTCAAGGTCATCAAGAGACCAGAGTTGTGATGCAGCAGGTTAAGCCGTCAGCTATGGGCATCCCATATGGGCACCAATCTGGTCCTGCCTCCTGTGATAATGGCTGCCTACTAATGCTCCTGGGAAAACAGCAGAAAGTGGCCCAAGTGCTTGGGCTCCTACATGCACATAAGGTGCCTGGCTGAAGCTCTTGGCTCCTGGCTTCAGGTTGGCCCAGCCTTGGTCCTTGCTACCATCTGGGTAGTGAACCAGGGATTGAAGATCTCTCTCTAACTCTGAATTTCGCATAAATAATTTTTTTTAAACAGATTTTTAAAATCACAAGAAAGTCTGCTGTTAGGCTAATTCAAATAGGACTCTTCCTTAAGTACTGTATAGTGCTGTCTACTTCTCTTTCATCACACATTTGCTTATGAAAACTTTAGTTTGAATATTGGGTTGGGAACATTGGTAAAATAAAAGCAGGACAGTCCACCATGGTTTATCCATTAATTAATTCATAATCTCAACAATCAGACTTTCACTCTTGGTAAATATATGTCTAATCTTAGCAATATTAAAACTAGTTTGTTTCTTCAATCCCCCAGGGACCTAACCAAGGAAGACTAATTCCTCGCTTAAATGTTGGTGCTGTCAATAACAGGCCTACCACTCCTACTCTAGGTAAGTGAGAGGGGGAAATGATTTTTCTGACTGGCAAAGAAGTACCTGGGCCTTTGGTTTTGAACTGTAATCCATGTCAAAAGGTGAGTCACTAACTCCTGTATTTGTGTTGCCATTGATAATTTGACTTGTCCTCTAGTAAAACTATAAACAGTCAGACTTAAGCATGAGAAAGCCATGAGGAATATCTGATCCCGTAGAGGAAGGGCTCGCCTCTGAGTCTAGGAAACACTAGGATCCATTTCTGAATATCTTTGTCTTCAGTAACTCTATCCCTGAATGGACTGTTTCTCGGAGGAAGAGAAGTATTCGCGTCTGCATCCCCAAGGAAAAATTGGAAACAGACACATTTGTATAAGGCTGTTTTTTGAGAGAGCAGTGACATCGGTATTCATATGAAGTCTTGGAAAATTTATTCAAATTTATGTTGAGGACCTGTTAGGAGCAAAGCACAGGAGCAGTATGCTCCCAAGGCTAAAGGATGTTAACCAAGGCTTCTGATCTAGCATATGGGATAAGATCCTACTAATAGGGCCCGGCAGTGTGGCCTAGTGGCTAAGGTCCTCACCTTGAATGTGCTGGGATCCCATATGGTCGCTGGTTCTAATCCTGGTGGTTCCACTTCCTCTCTTATCTCTCTATCTCTATATCTGACTTTGTAATAAAAATAAATAAATAAATAAATAAATCCTACTAATAGGACTCCTACGACATGTCAAGGAAATGCCAGAGGCAGGAGGTGGGACTTGTGACAAAACAAATCAAGACATTTTCTAAATGTTCTAAATGGTTCTTAAGTAGAATTTAGATGATGAAGGGCTCGGACTAGATTGGTACTATTATCCCCAAGATCTTTGTCTGCTTGGAAAGTCTCTGAACATAGGACAGCAGTAAATATTTTGATTACTTAGGGACCTCAAAGATCAGCTGCTTTTGTTAGATGCGTGTTGGCTTAGCATCATGGGCACAGGAGGAATCTTCTAATTCTCAGCAAGTGACAAAGATTGGAAGTACCACTGAAGTAATTGATAGAAAGCTTGCCTTCCTTCTAGTATGTTATTCAAACTCTCTATGGCTACATGTAGCTAGAACTTAGTACTTACTGTATTCCAGATGCTTCATGAAGCGTTTCACATGGATCATTCACTTAATTTTCAAAAGACTTTTTTTTTGTTTATTAAATGGATAGTCATCCCCATTTTACAGATGAGAAAACTGAGGCACAAAAAGATTAATCATTTCCCCAGGAACACTCAGCTAATGGGGCATAAGAGTTTGGATTCAAACGCAAGCATGTGGGCCCAGACCTACATTCTGTAGCATCATGTGCTTTTCAAGAATTCCTTTGCTCCTATTTCTACTGATTGTTTTTCTCATTTTTCATTGGTTTCCTGTGCTTTGAAGGTAGTATGTGGTAAGCTAATGGGAAAAGTATATAAATATGTATGGGAAGTCATCTAGATAACATGATCTGTTAATTATAGCTACAGCAACCCCACAAACAGCGCCTGTTCCAAATAAAGTTGCAGCTCCAGGATCAGTGACAAGCCAAAGATTCACGGTGCAGATTCCACCTTCTCAGTCTACGCCTGTCAAACCAGGTAAGGTGATTCCGGTGGAGGAGCAGTTTGTGAATATTTTACAATTGTGTTAACAGTCTTGTGTCCCTATAGCAAGGGGTACATTGTTTTCATACCACTGAAGGGTGGCAACCCTGCTGTGTATCTGGTTTCTTCAGAGGGCTCTGTGGACCCGCTAAAAAGCATATACAGCTTTACATATATGTGACATTTGGAGGTGGAGAGGTGAGAATGTTTAGGATGCTTGTCACATTCTCAACATTGTGAACTGAAAAGGTAGGGTCTGTAAAGCTCAGGCGTGCTCAGGGAAAAGCACTTAAAGTAAAAGCTTAAAAAAAGAATACAAGTTAGTGATGAGTGTGAAGAAACTGTGCCTTTATAGGAGACTGACGTATGTGTGCATATACATGTGCATATGTACACAAATATTTACATACACGGTTGGAATAATACAAGAGTTCTGTTAAATCAGTTTATTAATGCCTGTATTTATATTTTACACCTCTGAAAACTGATTGCTTATAAACAATTTATATAAAATATTGGCCTGTGAGAACCTTGATCCCTGACCTTGAATAGGTACCTCTAGCATATTCTATGATGAATCCAGGGCACTGCTTTCCATGACTTTAAGTACTAATGAAAATTTCAGACAGTTGTTATGTTAAAGTAACAGAATCTCTTTACCCTTGCACTAAATGTGGTTAAACAGATTTACTTTCTGCATACATAGAAGATTGCCCTGTACTCCATAAATATAACTGTTATATGTCAATAATAGTAATGCCGTTATCATTACCTATGTTATCAAAATTATATTTGGCATTGTTACATAGTTCTGTTTTGTTACATAGTCTCTCCTTTTGATTCTGGGTAATTCATATTTTGGGGGCGCTTTTTTCCCCGTTTACAGTTACTCCAACAACTTCTGTTCCAAATGTTCTGATTAACCCTTCAATGATTGGGCCGAAAAATATTCTTATTACTACCAACATGGTATCATCACAGAACGCGGCCAACGAGTCAAACCCATTGAAGAGAAAGCATGAAGATGATGAGGACGACAATGATACCATGTGAATAGTCTAGACGCATTTCCAAAGTGAAACAGTTTTTGAGCCTAGAATACTGAACTAGACCATTCTGTATCTTAAATTTTGTCTTAGAAAAAATGTAGCTGCAATATTTTTCATATTAGTTCAAACTGTTGGATTTCTTTAATAAGAATACAATTCTTACTAGGCTTTAAGTACTTGTTTCTTAATAATTTTATTAACATTGAGGCCTACCATGGCATTTTGAGAAATCAGAGTTTTACCACGTCACTGACAATCTGCCTAATCTTTAACAGCATAACTTCTAACCCGCATTTAAATATTGCCTTCTTTTATAAGATAAAAGTCACTTTTATTGTTACTAGCTTTTTTGAACAAATTTCTCAATTTAAGAAACATTTTTGGCTAGGACAGATTTAGGATTACAAATCTATTTTGATTGTATTTTAACTTGTTTCTTGGTTCTAACTTTCCACCTCAATTCCCTTACAAGATCCCATCCATTTGTTGTACCCTTACCATATAGGTTTTAAGTTTCTTCCTGTTGCTCTTAAATTCAAACGGCCATAAGTGGAATTTTAAAAATATCATTCTTGATAATGCAACCATCATTTTCATATTTTGAAAATATGTTCTACATGCCTCATGGTCTATGGTTCAACTTTTACCTGAAGCTTTGCATTTGCTTTCTGGTTTTGAATCCAAAGCAGAGCAGTTGAACTTCGACCCTTGTGTTTTATGCCTGTTAAGCTTTATTCTGCTTTGACAGGTAGTTCTGGGTCAGTTACATTTGTTCCAATGTTCTATTCCAAGTTGATAAGTCTACCATATTTCACATTTCCAAAATTTAACAAAAAGAGGGTATAGCCTAAAATCCGCCATGGTGAATATTTAAACAAGACAAAACCACTGAAGAGCATTTTCTTCTTTTCTACCATGCACATACATGCTTTCATCACTACTGCTTGAACACTCCTAGCGGCGTAATTCAGATCATACTTTCAGCTGGTCACATGCAAGAGGGGATCAAACCTGGGAGTAGACTCCAATGTTTTTCCTGTCTCTGCAGCTTGATGCAGCTTCCATTTAGGTGTAAAATCACATTCCGCATTTCCCATTTGTCCACACCTAAAATTCTCAACTGGGAATGGCTGCAAAGCTTTTGACATCATAAGCAGCCCTTGTTTCTGTTTAAGTTCAATATAGAAATGCTTTTGCAAAATCTGAAGTAAAGTTTCACAACGTAATTTAGAATTTATGGCCAAGGATCCTGAAAACGTAAATGGAAGTTTCATCGTGGGGTAGTGCTTGATATGTCTGAGAGAATCTCACTAGAGAGAAATGTATCAGCACAATCTGAATATGTCTGAGTGTTCAGGAAAGAGGATGTTGAATTGACAAGAACCAATCTGATCAGCAATAGGAGAGAAATGCTCATTACATTGCACAGGATATCATTTCTTGAATGTTCTCAGGGAGGCAGCATGTCAGAAGGCCTAGGTTCCAGTCCTGGCTCCATCACTTACCAACTGTGTGACCTTACTTCACCTCTGAGCCTTGTTCTCTTCACTAGTAACAGGAAAATAACACCTGTCCTGCCTACCTCACAGGGATGTTGTGAGGTGTCATTTGTACACATTCTTGCAAAGTTGTAAAATGCTAGATACCTATATGGGATTATTACTATTATATTTGTTCTAAGATTATTAATAAAACTTTGAGCAATTGGTGATCTTTCATTTATGACTGACTGAAGGGAGTCAAGGGAAATGAACAAGACCAAACAATTCTGAGAGCAATAAAATAATCAAGTTTTACTCAGTGGATGAACTCATAGTACGCTTGTTTGCTTTTTTGTGTAATCAGCCCATGTCTGACTCATAATGAAGCAAAATGAAAGTGAGTGAATCAGGGTGTAAGTAGGTTGAATGAAATCACATGCTGTTTTTAAGGGATATCTATACCCTTTAAATCTTAATTCAGCTTGTCATCTGGCTGTTCTCTTAGCAGATCAGATCATGGTAGGTTTGCTCTTTTGTGTAAAGACTGCTTACTCTGGCATATCTCCCCAGATCTAGCTGCTAGAGTTAATTTGAGGCAGCTTTCTTGGCCTCCAGCCTCCAGGTAGAATTTTTTTTTTTAAAGATTTATTTATTTATTGGGAAGTCAGATATACAGAGAGGAGGAGAGACAAAGGAGACAGAGAGGAAGATCTTCCGTCCGATGATTCACTCCCCAAGTGAGCGCAATGGCCAATGCTATGCCGATCCAGAGCCAGGATTCAGGAACTTCTTCCAGGTCTCCCACAGGGGTGCAGGGTCCCAAAGCCTTGGGCCGTCCTCCACTGCTTTCCCAGGCCACAAGCAGGCAGGGAGCTGCATGGGAAGTGGAGCTGCCGGGATTAGAACCAGCGCCCACATGGGATCCCGGGGCGTTCAAGGCGAGGACTTAAGCCACTAGGCCACGCCACCAGGCCCTTCTTCATTTTTTAAAATGGAGATTAGGGTTTTTTTTACAAATAGGCATATATATGAAGAAACTCCAAAAAGCTCATGAGAAAATAGAATGAAAAGACTGAGTGGAGAAGGCACATCTGGGGCCTGGCACAGAGGCACAGCACTGTCACCTGCAGTGGTTACATCATATAGGTGCCACATCCTGGCTATTCCACTTCCAATACTGCTCCCTGCTAGTGTGTGTGGGCAGGCAGTGGATGACAGCCTGAGTGAGCCCCTGCCACGCATATGGCAGATCCAAAGGAAGTTTCTGAGTCCTGGTTGAGGCCTATCCTAGTGCCAACCCTGTAGCCATTTAGACAGCGAATGAGTGGATAGAAAACCTCTCTGCCTGTCCCTTCTTCCACTGTGCCTTTCAAATTATTTTTAAAGATGGCAACATCCATGTCATACCTAGCTCCTGACTGCAGCTTCTTGCTAACCCAGGCCCTGGGAGACAGCAGTTATGCCTCAAGTAATTGGGTTTCTGTCTCACACATGGAAGACCTGAATTGAGTTTCCAGCTCTCTGCAGCTTTTCCATACACTGCCCAAATGACTCCAACAACCAGAGAAGGGCTAGTCCAGAATCAGGAACTTCTTCGAGTCTCCCACATGCTTGCAGAGGCCCAAGCACCACTTACTTCCCAGGACATTAGTAGGGGAGCTAGATCAGAAGTAGCGCAGCAGATATTAACTGGTGCTCATATGGGATGCAGGTACTGCACACAGTGACTTTACCTACTATACCACAGTGCTGGCCGTTCTCAAAATTTTTTTTAAAAAAAGCTTATTTTGATACAAAAAATTTGAAATCCGTTTCTTTTTCAAAATCTGTTCAAGTTCCTCATATATTGGGAACCAGCATGCTAATCCTCCACCTGTAGCACTGGCATCCCGTATGGATAATGGTCCAAGTCCCAGCTGCTCCCCTACTGCAGCTCCCTGCCTACTGCCTGGGAAAGCAGCCGTAGATGGTCCAAATCCTTGGGCCCCTGCATCCCAAGGATTTCTTGGGCCCCGAAGAAACTACAAACTTCTGGCTTTGGATCAGCTTAGCTCCAATCTTGTGGTCATTTGGAGAGAGAATCAGTAGATGGAAGATTTCTTTCCTCCTCTTTGTATATCTATCTCTCAAAAGAATAAAAAGGGATTTTAAGTCCCGCAAATATTTCCTGAGAGTAAAAAAAAAAAAAAAAACAGTTTACAAGGGTGAGCAACATTTTACCAGTAAATTTATAATTGTTGGGAAGCCATACCTTGAACTAAGTTTATAAATAAACTGTCATTTGTTTTCTACTTTTCAAAAAAAAGATTTTTAAAAATTTATTTGAAAGACAGAATTATAGTGAGGACAAAGAGAGCTTCCATGTGCTGGTTCACTCCCCAAATAACAAGGGCAAGCTGAGCTGATCCAAAGCCAGGAGCCAGGAGCTTGTTCCAGGTCTCCAAGTGCATGCAAGGGCCAAAGGACTTGAGCTATCTTCCACTGCTCCCCCAGGTCACAAGCTGGATCTCAAGTAGAGCAGCTGGGGACCCAATGTGGGAACCCACTTAGCATGCCAGTGCCAGAGGATTAGCTTGCAATGCCACAGTGCCTGCCCCTTCCACTCTTTTCTAAGTTTTAAGTTCTCTCAGGATAAAAAATACTTTATATTCCCTCAACTGTGCCTTATATACATTGTACATACTGAGTACTCAAATATTGGGCTAATTCCCAAGACTGGAGTTTCCCCATTGGTTTTTTAGATTAACAATCCAATAAACTGGAGGAAGATCACAGACCCAGAGTCTAATAAAAAGTAATCAAAAGCAGCACTCTAGAATTGATGGAGAATACTGGCAATGGTACAGTTACTGGGTGGATGGATATTTTCTCTATAGTTCCTTCAATTCCTCTGTATGCTTGATATAAAATGTTGGAAGGGAAGTTAGTCAGCAGGAAAGAAGCTAACATTTTGCTAAAATTCTAGTCCAGCAATGACTTTAATTTGCTGGGTCTATGGATGGTGTCTCTAGGTATCATTCTGCAAGCCTAGATTAGAATTCCCGATTTTGCTCAAACCATTTCTCGAAACATTAAAATTAGCTATAACGTTGGGGACAGCATTAACTGAAACATGAAATAAGAACAAAATTGAAACTTCCAAAGTTTTGTGTTATTTAAAGCATCTACTGAAATTTCCTTTTACTGCTCTTCCCCAATTAAGCCAAAAAGTCCAAGTATAGGAGGGGCCTTATTCAGGGGAGGCACAATATTAAAGTGTCAGCCAAACTTGAACTTGAGTTCTTGCAGATTATTCTGACAGTTCTTCCAGGTAAGATATACCTGTTGTATATAAAATGCCCAGCAGAACTGATAGTTAAATATGTTCTTTCCAATCATATTTACCTCTATTCTTTCCCGAAACTCCCTTATTAGAATGACCGGAAGACATAGGAAGGGAAAGTTATAAGGGGAAAGAACTCCATTGATAATGAAAGACACTGCCTTCCAGTCTGAGACAATGTTATCCATGCAAAAATTCTATAGAGAGCTCTCCATATCCATGGATTTGCATCTGAAGATTCAACTAACCACAGAAATCAATTTTCTAAAAACTACTAAACACGGTGCAGCACCAGGGCAGATTGAGAAGCGTGGCGCCAGGATCCTGTAAGGACACTGGTTTGAGTCCTGGCTGCTCCACTCCTGATCCAGCAACCTACTATCGTCCTGAGAAAGCAACAGAGGATGGTCAAGTGCTTGAGTCCCTACACCCACCCACACGGGAGCTCCAGAAGGTCTCCCAGCTTTGGAACTCTGGCTCTTATGGCTACTTGGGGAGTAAGCCAGCAGATGGAAGATTCCCTCTCTTCCCCCAGCCACCTCTGTTACTCTACCTTTCAAATAAGCCTTAAAAATAAATCTTGAAAAAAATTCTGAATTGCGTTAAACATGACTGTCAGGATTCAGCTGAAGCTGCCTGCTGCCTTGACACCATCATCTCATGTGAGGCCCAGATTCAAGTCCCTGCTGTTCCATTTCCAGTCCAACTCTTTGTTAATGTGCCCAGGAAAGCAACAGCAGACAGTCTTAGTACTCGGGTCACTGCCAGCACAACGCAGCTGCTGCAGCCATTCAGGGATGAACCAGTGGATTGAAGATTTGTCTCTCCCTATATTTCAAATCAACAAATTTTTTTAAAAAGTTATAGTAAGAATGAATGGACTTTTTTCCTCATCATCATTACCTTTAATACATCTTTAATTACCATGCACATACTATGCCTGCATCTCAAAGTGACTGGGTTCAATCCTTATTTCCAGCTCCCAGTATAGACCTTGGGAGGCAGGAATGTAAGGCTGGATTCTTGCCACCTGGTTCCTGACCTCAGGCCCCCAGCCGCTGGGAACATGTGGGGACTAACCAGTGAATGGCAGTTTGCCGTCTTTCTTTGCCTCAGATAATTAAATAGGTTTTTAAACATTAACAGATTTATATTCTTGAGGGTATTGAGACATTTACAGTTCTGGCAGTTTTGGGAATGAAACTGACAGTCAAGTATGTAGCAAAGAGAAAAATGTATTCTAAATAATTTTAAATACAATCATAGCATTCTACCTTGCTCAACTGCAAGCAATATTTATAATGCAGACTTCTGATCTCAACTACAATGACACAACTATGCCAAGGAATGTCTGTAAGACTATATGGAACAGAAGCTGTAAGAGTTCAATCTTTTGTGGTAGCTAAGCAAGGACAGAAATTTGTATAAGCATGTGACTTAGAAATGTGAAGCTTAGAAAAACAGAGTTGAAAGCAGCCATTTCTGGGTAACAGGAATTGAATGGGATGGACAGGCTAGGCTTTTCTTGTTTTATTATATTATTATTATTATTGTTTTATTATAACCTACTTTTTTTTAAAGCCTCATTTATTTTTATTTGCAAGGCAGTTATGGGGGGTGGGGAGGAAGAGCCATGGGTGGGTGGAGGAGTCTCTCATCTGCTGGATCATTCCGCAAGCAGACATAAAGGCCAAGGTTGAACCAGGCCAAAGTCAGGAGCTTCTTCCAGGTCTCCCACGTGGGCACAGGCACCTATGGACCTGGGCCATTTTCCACTGTTTTCCCAGGCCACAAGCAGAGAACTGGATCAGAAGCAGGGCAACCAGGACAGAAACCCACATGGGATGCTGATACTGCAAGCACCAGCCGCAACCCTTAACTTTCTAAGTTACGAGCATGCATGGGTCAAGAACATCACCTAGCATTAAAACAATTCCATCT